ACCAAGGCCCCAGGGAGGCAGGAAAATTTCCTGTGGGTGTGTCCTGTCAGTATGTTGTACCCCTCTGAAGGGAGTTGCCTGTAATGATTACCATTCTTTTTTGCTTTGGAAAGCTAGTTGCAGCACATGGGGTTGGCTAACTCACTCTAGGCAACCTCCAAGATAGTCTTTCTCCTACTTTACCATTTTCCAGGCTTCCAGTTTCCAGAGCCTATCTTTTCCGTAGGGGCAGCCAGTGTGGGAAGGGAGACCAAGAGGGGATTTGCCTGCTGCCCCAAGCAGGGACCTGCCTCCACTCTTCCCTGTCTCTTAGGGCCCCTCCTGCCTGTGAGCTAGAGCACGGGGGATGCTCTGTTTCCTGAGATCAGTGGGCTGCTACCCTGCCTCGGGGCTGGTACAGAGCAGCTCCAGCAGCCAGTGCTCCTCAGATGCCCTGGTACTCCTCAACCTTTACACTTCCTCTTGAAGTTGTACCACCAGGCTGAGTAGAGCATCACTCTGCTCACACCTCACATCCTGCTTCCTTTTGATGCCAATCATATATGCAAGAAATATAATATACCTAAGAAATACTTGTATGCTGAAGAATATACAAGAATGAACAAGAACCAACTGTTTAAGCCATACTAGAACATCAGAATTCAAATCTTCCATGGGCTTCTGTGGGAGCAGACAGCAAAGTGACTAGTTTTACTGAGAACGGTGTTATACCACAAGGGGAACTTGATCTTCTGAACTGACCCTCTCTGTCTAGGGGAAGCATCTCTGGGACATGGCATCAGGAATCATGAACAGCAAAAATCACCACCTGTGGCAGGAGCCAGCTGCTCTCATATAGATTAAAATCCTGATGCTAGAGAGGCTCAAAAGCAGTATCTAAGAACATTTATTTCTTGAAATCTTTACATACTTCGAAACAAATAAACCAAATTTTGCCTTCTTTGTATTGTCCATAGAAAAGACAGGAAGCATTGGATAAAAATAAACAGCACAGATCAGGAATCATTTGGTGTGACTGAAGGAAGTAGGTTAAGGATTTTATAAACATATACATTTAACATGTAATTGCTGGCAAATAACTTAATTCAGACTGTTGGAGTTATTTTCCACTAATTTCTTTTCCTTGGGGAAATACTCAGTAAATGTAACACATTATTTATGGAAAACAATTAAATTGTTTAGAGTAAAAACCAAAGTATTGCTATTTTGGTTGATTGGAAATATTCTTGCTTACAAATTCAAATAGCATTAATGCATGGGTGACATTTGTAAACAATAGTCTCTGTTAAACATTCAAAATAATCATTAGCACTACCGTGTGGTATCACATATAAAGAGAATAAAAAGAATAGTGAATTTTCAGCATTGTGTGGAAGAGTAACATTTTATTTACACCTCCTAAGGACATTTGAAGCTGCATATCACACAATTTAGTCAGAAATCAAAGGACACGATTTGTTTTTTTTTCTTAGCAAGACATTTCCTGCTCATTAGCAATAGAGCACTGAATTATTCTTAGATCATTCTTTCTGTTTATTGAAAGAGATATAAAGGTTATGTCTAACAAATTCCTCTTTAAAATGAGGACAGTAATTTAGTGGTACACAGGGATAGATGTAGAAAAGACAAATAATTAGAGTTAGTGACACTGAAACCTAACTGCATGAGGCCTCTTTACTTGAAAGAAAGTGAGTGTCACTAGAGTGAGGGAGGGAAAAGAAGATGGCAGTCTGCCAAAGTGAGTTTCTGCTGGGTGACAGTGTGAATTCCAAACTAGAAAAGTGCTTGTTATTTAAGCAAATTTGACAATGTATTTTCTTTTATTTTTGTCAATATAGTGTATCTTTGACAATGTAATCCAGTTAAAAAGGTATCCCTCAGTAAGGCATGGATGTGTCATTATAGGGGCCGTAGCCACATTATTAAAAAGATTTTCCTGGTTCATAAGTTCAAAAGCTGATATAAAATATTTATATATTTTGGAAAGCAACTTGAACTTTGTTTTTTTGAAAGTATTTTGAAAGGGAAATGTGCTTCAATTTTTTTTCTAACACTGAGGTTTCTAAGTCTGTTAGAGTTGTCTCTTTTTCATAGTATTTTATGCCTAAAAATTTATTGGTGGGGAATGCTGCATTAGTGAGACTGCTACCATCCACAACTCCTTCAACAGCAGAAAGGAAGAAGTCCCAACCCAGAGAGTTCTTCCTCTCCCTTCTCAGCAGACCATGAAATGCATGGAGCTGAATAGCATCAATGTCTACAGAAAGCAGTTTTCTTGTAATAAATATTAATATTATTAAACAATTAAATAATGTTTATTCTTACTATCAAGAGATTTTAAGAAATATCGACTTCATTATGGTGTGTTTGACTGGATTAAGGCAACAGAAGTTGCAAAGCCAAAAACCCTTGTGCTCAAAAATATTTTTCTCAAAGAAATATATTAAACTGGTTGTTTGGCTTTAGATTTCCCTGGAAAATAGGGACAATTTCTACCAATTTGGTTACGTTTTTTCTTTGGTCCACTGCACTTTTGATTTCACTGGACTTTGAAAATCTTGTGTACAGAAATAGAATTAAAAGGAAGAATCTTTTTCTATTAAGAGAAAAATTTTCACTTTTCTGTTTTTTCATAGTTTTTTTTTTCTGGTTTTTACATGGTATTCAAATCAAACCTAAAATGCCTATGACTTAACAAAACAATATATCAAATCTTTCAAAGTGACAATTTTAAGCTCATATTTACTGAAATATCAAGGACAGTTTACAAATGAGCCAATTTTTCTTCTTAATTCTGTTGCATATATAGTTATCTAATAAGATTGTAGGATTATGCTCAATCTGCATATTTCACCAATCAGCCAGCACACTTTTGTGTGTTACTTATTTTAGTATTTGAGAACATGAATATTTTGCCAATTCAGTTACATATTTCACCAATCCAATTGAATGCTGCAAGGATCCACCTGCATGTGAAAATCTAGGGAGATGCAGAGCTGATTAGCCTGTAGTAATATTTTAAGGGCTTTCTTTAAGCAGTATTTTAAGAGTTTTTTTTATTTTGGCTCAAGTATTATTTACATACAAAATACTCTGGGTTTGGGCAGTCTGTCTCATCCCAACTGCTGCATAAGTTGTCCCTGCACATCCTAGGGCACTCAAGTTGGGTTGGAAGGGACCTTAAAGGCCACATAATTCCAACATTTTCAGTAGCCCAGATTGCTCAGAACCCCATCCAACCTGGCAGGTGTTCACATTTTTCCTTTGTGGATTCTCATGGGATAGACTTCTTATTTTTAACAGATGCAAACTGCCTTCTTACAAGAATAGATTGTTATGCAAACTGATTCTCATTCTCATGATTCTTTCTCATGGGAGCTTAACAGGCTAGCTGTTAATTCAGCTGAAATAGCAATAAAGCCTGATTTTACAAGGCCTTTTTTTTATAAAGTTTTACCTATATACAACAAAGATTATCTTATTACAAGTATTTCATGAATCCTGTCCTTCAACTCATAAAGAAAAATGTTAAAATACCAGGGAAAAGACAAAATCTGCCTTGTCCTTTCTATATCCAACTTCATATTAGTGGTGCAAAAAGGTAGAAGAATACTGTTGCCTTTGTACTTCCATTCTAATGACATGGAAATTCTACAAGTGAAATGTTTAACATCTGGCTAGTTAGTTCACAACATAACAATGAGCACTGCAAATAATTACCCATGTTTCGAAAATGTATGTAAATTAACTGATATTAGCAGATCTGAGAGCAAAAAAGACAGTTGGATAGCTGAAATAGACAGATGATCATCTACTGTGTCATTATAGTTTGAATTTTATGTGCAATATTTCTTCTAATGCAACTCTTTTGTGACTTATTTTCTTGCAGTGAGGGTAATGGAAGGTTCTGTGATGAGAAGATTGATAAGATGGGGACACCTCTGTGAAATTTTTCATTCATACCCTAACATTACATCTGTTATGTATTTATAAAGAATTAATGAACTAAGTGCTACCAGTTCAATTTATCATTCTGCTTATAAATGGACTGTGTGTGTTCAGAAATGCCTTGAAATATTTCATCCAGCTATAGTGCAACTACAGTCAAATGTAATGAAATTAGTTCATACCTCAAGGCTGGAGATGGCTTGTTCATTTTCTGTGGTGTCTAAAATTTCCCCCTTCAGACTGATGAGTGAGAGGTGTTGTAGGGCAAGAATACCTAACCTCAGCATCTTTGAAAATGCAGCTATTCCTTCTTCCTTATTTTCCACATCTCCCACACCTAGCTCAGTATGAAGAAAGGCACAGATCCTGCATCTGTATTTGTCTCTCTGCTACAATGAATGTGAATCACTGAAAGCATGAAACATAGTTTTTTAAACATTTTCGCTGGGAATTGAATGAAAGAATCTTATCTTTAAAGGTGTATTTCAGTGATGATTTTCAGATAAATAGGGAGGGAAGTAAACACAGGGTAAACACAAAAATGAAGAACAGGTGATCTGCTCTGTAGCTTAACTTTGCTTTTCTAGTAAAACATTCTGTATTTGCCCTGAAAGGTTTATTGGCCACTTTTCCTGGGGTACTAAAACTAAATAAGAATATCTTAATATATGTGGACCTGCCATCTGACAATATCAGTATGGGTAGATTTTATATGCTGTAGTGTTTTGCATTGTGGAAATATCAGTATATATTAAGCAAAATAAAATCAGTTTTTTATTAGTCATAACAATAGTTATTTATATAAAATGCATTCAGTTTCCCTAAATCATATACATAATGGCAAAAGAGAAAAAAATTCAAGTCCTCATCCTTCAAGAGCTCTTTCTAGACAAAAATGTCCTCTCCTGAAGAGTTTCTATTGCATTTTGGTCCTTAGTTCAATTCCTTATGTCCCTGAATACAACTAAAAGGCTGAATATTTTAGCACTGAAAGTCTTTTCCTTATTCCCTTTGATTTCTTCAGTTTTTTAGGCTTTGTTCTTTGAGTCACTGCTGACTTGCATGTTAGGACTTCTAAAGAAAGCTGCATCTTACCTTGGGAACACAGGTGAGTTAAATTTTCCATCTAATGCTACAGTGAAATAAATTACCTTTTACTAAGTATTTCTTGTTTTGATTTCTTTGAAACATCATGGGGAAGTCATGAGTATAATTTCTTTTGTAATGGGTCTGACCAATGCCCTTAATCAGCAGAGAAAATAGGTGGAATAAAAAGGAGCCAGAGTCCATCAGATTGTGTTGTACTAAATATCACTAAAGAGAATATATGTTGAGAGCCTGGCTGCAGCCTCCTGTGAGCTGTTCCTCTTTGCCCAAAATCCTGTAATTTAGACCTGAGGAGCTAAATCAATTTTGCTTATAGAAGGTCTGCTGATTGCACAAAACAGTAACATCAGTACAAAGTGAATTTTCCCTGCACCCATTAGACTGTCACTGGACTGGGTACTGCAGGATCTTGCATGTTTCAGATTAGAAAAGGAGGGGTGGAGAAGCAGGTGGCTTTTTTTGTAGCTCTTTCAGATGACTCAGAACCTGCAACTAAGCAGAGCCCAGAGGACCAGTGCCAGCCCTTCTAGGACTTTATAAGCAGACACATCTCCCGGCTCTGCCTTGCAGCTGCTGACCCGTAGTCCTCCTTACAACCACCTGCAGAACTCAGAGGTCTGAGACTTTTCATCCAACACAGAAAACTGCAGAACAGAGTTATGAGCAGTGCAGAAATTATGCAGTGGTGAAATAAGCATTTAGTATCCTTCTCTGGTCATAATTTGCCATGTGAGGGGGGGAGAAGAAATAATTATTTGTTATTTCAGTTGTTGATTATTTCCATTCCTATTTCAATTTAGACTTTGCTCTCTTAGTTTCTCTTACTACATTTTTCTGAGTTCTGGGTGTTCCTGCCAGTGTGATTTAAATTTAATGTGTAGGCTATTTTATTGGATCATGTATTAAGTAAAGATAAACTAATAACTATGGTTTTTGTGGACCTGCAATGTAAAAATCTAGCTTTCATATCTAAACAGAAACACTCAGTCTAAAAAGTGGCTATTGTCTGTTATGCTTGTTAAGGTTCATAAGAGATAGGAAATGCAAAAAACTGAATATAGATTTTTTTGTTGTTATTGTTTTTGGGTTTTTTTTTTCCTTAGTATATGAGAGGCACATTGCTTCAGTAACCAATATTTCTCTTGGTATCATCATATTCATACTGTATCCTGGAGGATTTAGGAAAATCAGTAGTTTAAATAATTTCATTTACTGAAGGATAAACAGAAACACTGTAAATGGCATATTCATAGGAAACTACCTGAGTTTTTTTATTCTTCTATGAATTACTACTGTTTTGTCTAGGATTGGTTTTAATCAATAAGTCATTGTATATATCTTGAAAAATTCATTTATATGAAGTTAAGGTGTCTCTGATTAATTATCACATTCCTCTTCATAGTGCATTATGGTTTTTACATGTTCTTGAGTCTGTCTCAAAATAATTAAAGGACTTGTTCAAATACTGCCTCTAACTATTAAAGTTTCAGCATATAGAAATTTATCTGTGGCAGTGTCTTTAAATGCCAGAGGAAAATAGTTCTTAAAAAACCTGTTCCTATGTATTTTTCTGAATTTTCTCAAATGGTAGTCCTCATGTGCAAAGGCAAGATCAAAGATGAAACTAAAGGTTTCAGGTCTTGAAGATCCACTAGTAGAGTGCATTTTCTGATATGCTTCGGAGAAGAGACTACAGCGTATCCCCTTCAAGGCCTTTCTGAAATGCAAACAAATGTATTCTGAGTAGTGATGATTGGGAGATCTTGAAAAGCTCACTCCTATTCTGAGCTAAAGCCCTGAAATTTTGATGCTTGTTCGTCATCTGAATAAGACATCAGAGGAAAGGTGAAATACAAAAGAAGGTGAAATACAAAGGTGAAATACAAAAAAAGCTTCGTATAGGGAAACCTTAGGTGAAACTTGGTTACTTATTGAGCATATAGGAGACCAGATCTTTGGAAAATATCCAGCCTTTGGAGCGGAGTTGAAGAGTAGGAAAAGCAAAACAGATATAGCAATTCTAATAGCTGAGGAACATGAAAATCAAGGAAGTGATATTGGCATGTTATGGTAAAAAACCTGACTGCTGGTGATGCAGAGCCAGGGCAGTGGAAGTGTTAAAACTTCAATTCAACAGAGTTGCAGTCTGGGCAGCTCATTGGGACAGTGTTGTGATTTTTAGTTGCCCTTCACAGCCCTACAACCTCTGTGACTCTGCTGTTTAGTCCTCACCAAGCCCTTTCCCTAACCCAAAAGGCACATGTGCTCTTCTACACCACGTAGGGTCTCAAGGAAAGGCTAGGCATTTGCAAACATGTTGTGTTGTTGTTTCTTCACACCAGTATTATACTTTACCAGGAAATCCTTTTCCCAGAGCAGAGATTTAGGTTGGAAGTACTAAACAGTCCCTTTGGCTTTCTGCTTAAGTAATGGCTAGGCTCTGGAGTATGTTAGGTTTTGTGGCTTCTAAACTCCAGTGGTGGTAGTACTCATTTTTCTCTTTGACTCCTAATATGTTTGTTGCAGCTTCTGATATTTCTCTTGATGAAAATGTGAAATTCTGTGCTTTATTTTGTAAACTCACTTTACTCTTTCAAATAAGCATCTTATTTTCTTTTCCAAATTACCAACGTTTTTAGATATTTGTCTGTTTAATAAATACTATGTGGCACTTCCAACTGGCTTTTACAAGTGCTTAAAAACAAATTTTCTTTGTGTTGAAGTTAACTATTCATGCCTGTGGTAGATGAGGTTGTTTCTGGAGCAGTGATAGCTGATGGTATCTTCTGCTATTTCCTAAGAGCAATTAAGTTCCAGAACCTTACAAGTCAGAGCCAGAGTCAAGCTGTCTACTTGGTTACAGCTGAAAACTCAGCTAAGTATCAGAGGCACAGAACAAATTAAACATATGCATAGATGTGCTGAGTCCTGTATGTGACATATTGCATTCACTTCCCTCTCACATTTGATAATTTTTTGTAACTATTCACGGATTTTTTTTTAAACATCTTTTTCTTTACTATATCTGCTGTGCTGTTTTATCTTTCCATTTTACTTCATTTTGTAAGTAAATGTGTTGCAATATAACAAGATCTGCAACGCAAAAATCTGGGGTTTTGGCAAGTTCTAAACCAGTCATAGACACATTGCTTAAAGATGTATCCATATGGATATTTTTAAGGAAGCTAAGTAAAGGATGGAAAGGAAGTACACCACAAAGTCTTATTAAGTGTGTCTCATGGAATATTCTCCCAGTAGAAAACTATTCAATGAAAGAAATGTTTATTAAGGAGCTGCCCCTTCTAATTTTTTTCATGTAGGTTTATAAAAATTCTTGATAGTACCCTTCAGACTATTAGAAATGGTCTTCACTTTCTGTGGGAAATTTCAAATTAGATTTATTTGTTTAATTCTTACTTGTTCCAGTGCTTGATGTTCACTTAGATTAATCCTCTATAAATTGTAAAATTTCTTGCTGGGGGCCAGCTCCATCCTCCATCCTGGGCTGCATGGAAAGCAGTGTGGCCAGGAGGGCAAGGGGGGTATTCTGCTCCTCTACTCTGCTATCGTGAGATCCCACCTGGAGTGCTGCATCCAGTTCTGGGATCCTCAATGCAAGAAAGATGTGGACCTTCCTGAATGAGTCCAAGGAGGACCACTAAGGTGATACAGGGCTGAAGCACCTCTCTTATAGGGCTACAAGAAAGCTGGAGACGAAATTTTCACAGGAGCATGTAATGACAGGATAAGGGGGAATGGCCTTCAGCTTGGATTGGATATTAGAAGAAATTCTTTACTGTGAGGGTGGTGAGGCACTGGAACACGTTGCCCAGGGAGGTTGTGGAGTCCCTGGAGGTGTTTATGACCTAAGCAACCTGCTCAAGTGGATGGTGCCCACGACAGGAGGGAGGGGACCCAGGTGATCTTTAAAGTTCCTTCCAAGCAAAATCTTTCTCTGATTTATGAAATCAGTTTGTCAGTGGAGCCAGTTTGACTGGAAAATAGAACTCTCAAGAGTTCCCTTAAGAGTCAGCCTTGAAGGAATGCAGAAGTAATGGAGAAGTTAGATTTTTATTTTCAAAGGGATTACTTTGGGCTGTGATTAAAAAATTAATGGGGACATTTTTAAACCATTTGAAAATTACATGGCGTTCTTGGCTGCCCAGTAGGCTGAAATTGCTGTCTATCTTCAGTGAGCAGGAAGATTAACATTTGTGAGGGGTTCTGATCTTGGATCTTAGAGACAAAACATTGACAGCATGACTTGTCTGTTCTTTGGAATTCTGTTTGCCTTGTCTGAACATTATTGATCTTTAATAGTAGCTAGGAGAGAAAAGATGACCAGTATGAAATAAGTATACATAACTGACCTTCCATTTATATGGTACAGACCAAATAAGAGAGTGCTGAAGAAGTATAGAAAATTAAAGTGGATTCATTTTTAAAAACTGTGGGATGTGGCATCTTTAAAAAAAATAACTACATCCAATAGCAAGGCTTTGATTTGCTTTTCTATAGACTAATTTTATTATTTAGAAAAGGCCTAATTTCATCACCCATAGTTAAAGCTGTAATCATTAATTCCGTTGACCATTTACAGGATAATTCAAAATTCTAACTGTCCTTGGGGTTACAAAACTTGTGTAGTCAATAAATTTTTTCAGTTAGTGTTGTGAATTCTAAATATTGAACAAAACATACTTTTAGTGTCTCTCTATGTATGTATTGCATCTTTCCATAAAAAGTCTATTAAAATTCTGTTTGATAATATTTCGTAATAAAAAGTCATTACTGCTCATAAGAATGTTTGTCAAAGTGCTGATCTGTACAAAGGTTTTCAAAACCAGTAAGTTTGAGGTGGGTGAGAGTTTCAGATAGCTTTATATAATTGGCTCATACCACTGTCTTTGGACAAAATTTCACTATACACCTCCAGAAGCAAGATCTGGGTACAGGACTCCTGAGGGCTCAGCTGAGATCCTCAGCTGAGATGATGGTGCC